AAACTGATTAATGTAATATTAAATAAGAAAAAAGAAGAAAAGAAATTTTGTTAAAAATAAACTAACGTTGAAATTCTGGTAGCAAAACAACGTAATAATGTATAAAGACGTCTGATAAATTGTTCAAAACGTAACAATTGAAAATGTTTAGAATTTAAAAATTGTTCCAATTGTAATCGAATGGAAAATAATGCGGCAGCATCATGATTTATATTAGCACCAATATCACAGAATGCAAGATTTGCTAAAATATTATGATAATAATTTAATATATATATAATATCTATTATTTCATTTCAGATATTTTATGCAAAACTTTTTCATGTTATTTTTTCTCAAAAAAAAAAGAATATATTTAATTAAAGCTATTTTAATGACTGATGAATGATGAACTAATATCTATTATTTCATTTCAGATATTTTATGCAAAACTTTTTCATGTTATTTTTTCTCAAAAAAAAAAAAATGAATATATTCAATTAAAGCTATTTTAATGATTGATGAATGATGAACATTTTAGAAAATATAATTTGAATATACACAAATGTTATCACTAATGATAGAATGGGAAAATTTATTGGAAGTATAGCATTTTTTTTTTTTTTTTTTGTTTAATTTTGTAATTTTGTAAGAGTAGAAAATAAATAACTATAAAACATATTTTATTATGTTAATCGAACTTTTCATACTTTAATTATATTTATTAATTATTAACATTATTACTATATATTTTAGTATTTACTTACAACTTTTAATGAATGATTCAGCGATAAGTTTTAGATGGCATATTAATAAATCGATATTTTCATTGATAATCATACGTCGATAATTTAATGATTCAGAATGTAAATTTTGAATGATTAATTGTTGTCCATAAGTAGTAATAGTAGTAGTATCATTTAATATTTCCTTTACCGTACTATCAATAAGATATTTTTGGAAGGAACGTTTAGACAATAATTTTTTAAGAATTTGTTGCGCAATAATTTCTGATTTCATATGAGATGATGAATGCTTCACTTGAGGTGATAAATGTTTTATCTGAGTTTGTGAACATTTATCTCGACTATCGTTCATAACTGACAAAAAAAAAAAAAAAAAAATTTCGTCATATTAATTAATTATATATTTCGTTATATCAAGTAATTATATGATTTTTATCACTAATGATTTACTAATTTTTTAATCACTAACGTTTTTAAACTTATCACTAATCTCTTCATATACATATTTGATAATGAGAAATGATAAATGAATTCATGCATAATTACAAAAATATTTACAATAAATAAAGTTTCAAGAGAAAAAAAAAAATAATACCTATCAATAAAAAATAAATACATGCACATTTTCAATTAACAAATAATATTTATTCATAATTATTAAAAAATATATTTTAATTAAAAAACAATATACCTTGAATTAATAAGCAATAATTTTGTAATTTCAAATCAATAAAAAAATTTATAATCGTAATTAATTGCATTAATCCTAATGAATGCATAGAATAATTTCATCGTAAATTAAAACCGAAAAAAAAAAATTAGGAAATATATGTTTCATAGCTTTATGTTTTCATCTTCATAATATACGCATAATTATTCTACGTAAATCACGTAAAAAAAAAGAAAGTCATTTCCATATTCATTATATAAACATTAATATCGCAAATAAATTAAAGAACGAAAAAGAAAAGACATACATTCCCTAGCAAATTGCTACAATAATTAATATATTAAATTTTAATAATAACAGGATTAAAATCGAAAAATTAAATTCTGGACTTGGTTTAAAAATTTTTAAGGAATTTGAAATTAATAAATGAATAAAAATAAATAGATAAATAATAAATCAATTGTTTCCATCAAGAAAATATTGCTAATACTTATTGCTAATGTTTAACATTTTTTGAATAACTGACACATTTGAAATATCTCTAGTTTTTTTTCTTTTTTTTTAGATTAAATAAAATTATTCATGAAATTTTTGATTTCATCAATTGTTTATTTTTGAATAATCATCAAGAAATAATTTTTAACATTTTCAATTATTTATTAAACTTAAAAAAAGAAAGTAAAAAAAAAGTCAAATCTATTTTTCATTTTTTTAATTGATCCAATAATCTGAAATTATATAATTTGCTACTTCAAACAATTGATCTATCTCATCTCATTCATAGAATTACTAATTAATTTACAATTAGAATTTTAATATCAACTTACATAATCAATTTTAATTGATATATTTAATAATTAAAATCATAATTATAATCAAAATCGCATAGTATTTTATGCCAATTTATATTTACACAATTTCTTATGGAAAACATTTAATTCA